ATTCTCGGAGTTCTAGTGAGAAGATTTGACCAGTGGAGTTCAACCCTGTTGGGTGTAGGCAGTAACTATCACAGACAAATAGGTGAAATCAAGCAAAACCCCTAGATCAATCAGAGTTAGACATTAACACCGTTAGATACCGGACCCAGGGGTCCAAAGTTTCGGTGTATGTGCTAAAATGGATTGATAAAAGTTCTTCGAAGAAATAACACTGAATGATATAAGTGGCTGGAAACCTAGTCACATCAGTCAGAAAATATAACTGATCAGATCGAAATAACTTTGTCTTATCATAATTGTAGGTGATTGATTCAACGTGCAAAGTGTTATTTTTTTTCCAAAAATCATCGCTGATGTGATATAAGGTGTTCAAATGCAGTGGTTGTATTTACAAAACGTATAAAGATATCAGTGATGCTGGTTAGGGTAATGTGGCGAGATGGATTTGTACTATTTTTTTTTGTTTTTTGGTGTCAAAAATTTTGAAATATTGATTTTGATCGATTAGTGAGAAGATGGAGTTGATCTGAAAAACCTGATATATTATGACTGAGCCAATCATTTCGGCCAAATTGATGTGTATATGAAGACTAATTAAGTCCGATTAAGGAGAATGACTAAGAAACATAATGATGATTGAAAGGAACTCAACCTGGACTAGGCAATATACATAAATTTTCACAGTTTTTGTCTACTATAGCACAGTAGAAGCATGGTAAGGTGTCTTTTTAACAGAAGTCAACAAATATGCATTGCAGATGAGTTTGGCGTAGATCCGAAATTATCATCTGAAATATTGACATTAAACGGTAACGCACTGCAGTTTATAAGTCAGAGCCAATACGTTGCATTATCTATAGAACGCCAACCAGGGATCTTGAAGGAGCAATAGATGCTACTCATTTAAAGCTTTCTTTCACTCCATGACACTATGTCATGCACTGATTACCTTTCTGCTTTTTCCAACCAGTCCCAACATTGGCAAATAATGATTTAAAATTTGTATGAAAATTTTCAAAGCCATAAAAGTCGGTTTTTCAAGATATTGACACTAATCGAATTATCCTACCAGCAGTCAGACACGCTACTGAACCTCACATGACTAGTTTGGTATTGCCATTGATTGTCAGAAATCCTTTGGAGATAACGGTGATCGAACACAGAAAGATTTCAATTATTTTCAATTAGGAGAGACCCGGTTTCACAGGCATAGAGTGAAAACGCTCTCAAAGACGGATTGCAAACCTCTTCTTCTATGAAGTTTACTTATCTAACAGGAAATAATCCTCTGGCAATGGGAATGCGATCGATAGGTGGGATCTCAGTTCTTAGTGCCTAGGACGACACCAGCACCAACAAAACCAGACGAAGATGTCACACGGCCCTAGAATAAACGCACACCAAATAAGCTTTTTGAAGAAACATGTCAAAAGCGAAATTTTAAATACTTCACTAGTTTTGAATACGGTTATCAGATACGCAAGAGACATCGATGTTAAGACTCTTTAAAGACACAATCAACTCTGTCTGTTATCCAATCTGCTTTAGTCAGCGAACCTTAAAAGGAAGTTAGTCGGAATGCACTATATAATTTCAGATAGACTGATTCAGAACTGGTATCGACCTTACAACCAGTCAGTAACTTGAGATTCTTTAAACAGGATGGGATTTTCATCACAGGTGAACTGCTCTATAAAGTGAAAATTAAAGGAATTCACGGAATGGGTATTCAAAGACAATAGACAAGTGAATGTAAGATAAAAATGAATATCAACAAACAGCTGTGAACAGGATTTGTGAAAGTGAAAATTTTCTAATTATGGTTATCAATTAGTAGTGTTAGTGTATCTCATTTAGTCAGGCTTTCTTCTATTTAATAATATTGCCTTCATATTAGTAAACAAAACAGGGATAAAAATATCCATCCCCAGTAGCTTGAAATCTCAATTCTTTCACCATTTGATTTGTTCTTCAACTCAATAAACATCATACAAAGTTCATGTTGAATTATGAAATATGACCATTTACGTTGATTAATTCACACAATTGAAATCATCAATCAATCAATCATTGTTAGATCACCATTAGAAACCTGAAAGCACTGACAGACATCCGTGTCGTTCTGGAACAGGACTCATCAGTGGCAGTGCGCATCCACGACTTCAGCACCTCGCAGGATTCGAACCCGGAACCTTCGGTATTGTGGACGTACACCGAACATTTGGACTACTGGGTCGGTATCTAACGGTGTTAATGTCTAATTCTGATTGATCTAGAGATTTTGCTTGACTTCACCCACTTGTCTTTGGTAGTTACTACCACGTTCACTCGACAGGGTTGAACTCCACTGATCAATGATTGATTGATGATTTCAAATGTGTAAATAGACTAATCTCCACAACTCTACATGAAAATTTCGTTGATCAATTGATTCGCATTACCTTTATTCATCTTTTAAGTTCTAATAATTTACTATATTAATTCATAGTTTATAGAAACTGGTCAATTTCATTCTTATCAACAATCTGAACGGGATACGTTTAAATGCTGTAAAATTTCATTATACAGGTTTAAATCAACAAATCATCTTTTTTTGGGTGGGGAATGAATGATTGACAAAGATTATTGTATGTGTTATTTTATTTTACAACTTATTTACGTAAATGTTTGACTGTTTGTATTTTTAGTGTGTGTACTGTGTGTGTATATGTGTATATTTCGGCTTTTTATTTCAATTACAAAAGGGAACAGTTTAAGAATAATAATATTAATGAAATGTATTTTATGAATTCGCGCGTTATTTTAACAAAATAAGAAGACACTTAAAAATTTATTTTATAAAATAAACAAACGATGACGATGAAGATGATAGTCCATGAAATAGGTAAAATATGATATAAAGAAATTTTTTAACAAGTGAATAATTTATAGTTTATAAACATTTATAGACAGTTTATACCCGACCACGTCACAAGACAAGCCCACTCTTGCAAACCTCAAGGTAAACGGAAAAGAGAAAGGCCGAAGCATACATCACGCCTGGAAAAAGAGACAGATATGAGAAGAATGAACAGGAATTGGACATAAGTATAAAGAAGAGCCAGGGACAGAGTAGGTTGTAGAATACTGATCGGGGGTCTATGCTCGATTGGGGGTAACAGACGTAAGTGCATAAGTAAGTAAGCAAATAAGTAAGTTAGTAAGTAAGTAAGTAAGCTGCGTAAGTAAGTAAGTATAGACAACATGTATTAACATACAAATCCTTTTATTCTTATTTTACATTGAAATTGTGAATCAACTAACGTTAGACCACTATAAGTAACCTGGAAGCAGTGGACGGCCGTTTCGTCCCTGGGATAGGACTCTTCAGCTCTTTGCATCCATGAGACCTGCTACCGACAGGATTCGAACCTCGGACATTTGCTCCTGCGCGTGAACGTTTAATAATATTTTCATACTTAAAAATATATATACATATATATGTATAATATGTAACAGATTTCTTTAGTTATTAAACTAATAACTACAATGATATAACACTTGGAAGTATGCGATTTAATTGTCACCATCTGATTAGCATATTTTTGGTCCAAATACGGAGTAATTCCATGAGAATGGCCTTGGCTGTAATTCCAGGCAATTTATTTTAGGTTATAAATGTATTTTACTGATGATTTCTAGTATTTATGAAATGCAAACTCAAAGACAAGAGAGTTTCCCTGAAGATTTCAACTCATCATTAATCAGTGACAAAGTTGTATAAATGTTAAAAGTAAACAAAAAAAGAGTAAAAACTAAATAAAATGAAATTGTTTCTTAACTGAAGTAACCACGTCAGAGTTGAGATAGTTTTCTTGGTAAATGACAATGACTGATAGTTTCATACCATCTTAGACTGAATGAAATTAAAAATGCTATTCATTTATTCTTAATTCATTGGTTAAAAGTAACTTGGATATATTTATCATAGGGTTGTGAAGACATTTGAGTTACTTCGGAATCATAAATTGATCAATGTTAGACCAGCATCAGAAGCCTGAAAGCGCTGAACTGTCGTTTCGTTCTTGTACGGGACTCATCAGCAGTGCGCGTCCATGGCCCTCTCTACAAGCAGGAATTGAACTCATGACCTACCGTCGAAACGGGTGTCCAGTGTTTTCAGGTTTCTAGCAGTGGTCTACAATTGATCTATTCATGAATATAATGAAAATCGACAATCTTCACAACCGTATGGTGAACATTATCATATGATCCTTAGTGATTGGCTTCGTGAGAAAGTCTCAGGGAATCATTGTAAGAAGTTATGACCAGTTGAGTATGAAGCATTGCTCATCAAAGACAGTGGATGAGATCGCATAAGTCCGTGGATTGTTCAAAGTTAGACATTGCCAGTGTTTGATGCCGGCTCAGTGGTCAAGAGGTTAGGCGTTCGCACGAAGACCGAAGCTCCTGGGTTCGATTTCTGTGAGTGACGGTAATTGTGGATGCGCCTTGTTGATGAGTCGGGAACCAGAACAAAACTGCCGTCGAATGCTTCCAGGTTTCTAATAGTAGTCTAAACATAATCATTACAAAATGTTACATTCCTGAGTTTGACCCCCAATGGACTTACGAGTATAAATGATGAAATAAATCTGAAATATAATCAAATATCAGTCTAGTACTTCTTAATTTTCTCATAGATTGACGATATGAAATATCTTGACATCAAAATTCTAAATAAAAGAGAAATAAACTGGATATTTAAATAAAAACGAATCAAATCAATGCATATGATTTAATTTTTTTGAAATTATATAAAACTTACTTTGAAGTGTAGAATTACATGGAATAATTCGTGACAATTTATCACTGCCAAATTTTTGACATGTATATTTTTTTAAACAACATTCATTCTGATACACTGTACCATCTAAATCACAAATTGGATTTAATTCATTCGAACAAATTTTTATTGAACATTTATATGGATTATTTTGAATCGAATTGATAAATTCTAATGAAGTTAAATGATTTGATTGAGGTGAATCATGTTGTGGATTTTCATCAGTTTTTGGGTGATGAGAATTTTTACGGATTTGAATAGAACTAGCGGGATTTCTGTTCGACGTAAATTGTTTATTGATATTGTTTATAGGAAGTTGATCATTGGACGCGGCAGTAGGAATAGAAGCAGCAGCAGCAGCTGAAGATGTTTCTAATCAACATAAGAAAAGAGATAAAGAATCATGAATGAATATCTAATTTTCTTCTATTGATCTAATATGATTGATTTATTGAACATTGAACAAAGTGTACAATGTTCAACATCTTAGCCTAAGTGTATATGTAAGAAATCGTCAGATACATGTCTGTTTGTGTACATGTACTTTGCATAAATACCTAATTTAAATGTCAGCAAGTTATTTCATATCATTTTTATGCATTTATTAAGTAGTAAGCATATAATTTTCTTCTCTCAGTCTATTAACATTTTGAATAGAAGTAACTGAATTTACAATACTGGTTTTAAGTTATTGTTATCATATAAAAAACTATAGTATTATGAATCGGATCACGATTTCGAATAACAACTTGTTTAAAATGTTTATAAATTTGGTATGAAAACCTAATTATTTAACTCATATATATTATCCAAGGTATACCAGAACAAGGAATACATTACGCCGAGGAATGGAGAGAGACATGACAAGAATGAACAGAAATTGGAAAGAACTGGAAAGGGACGTCAAGGACAGAGTAGGCTGGAAAATGCTCATCGGCGGCCTATGCTCTATTAAGGGTAACAGACATCAGTAAGTAAAGTAAGTAAGGTATACTCAAAGAACGTCAGTATCACTAACCTTAAAGAATGTTTGTGTTCATGTGTAGTAATTTTATTCTGTAGAAAATTCTAAAATCAATACTGATCATGATTATTGGATTTGGTGAACGTTACGCACAAATTGAAAGTTTACAACATGCAAAACTAGTTCATTTTGATGAAGATAACTTATTCATGTTTATTATAGAATGTTTTGTTTTTCTGTTGTACAGTACTCCCAGCAATCAATTACTAATCTTTATTTTACCTAAAGTTTAGTTTAAATCAGCGAAAATTAAACAATGTCGTTTTGGATTCATTCAAAGGTAAACAGAATTTTAAACAACAATAATGATGAAGTCTATTTGATTCACTCAAATTCTGCATTGATTCAATCGAAATCGCACTGAATGTGTTGTAGTAAGTCAATCAATAGTGGTTTTGTCGAAACAAACAGTTCATTCATTAAAAAGATAAAATTTTTAATAAATTTTAAAAATTGAATCCTGAATACTTCTTGCCATGAATGAAGTATTACTGTTAGACTTTATTAATGTCTTGCTATGGTTTATCATATAAAAAATACATTCCTATCTGTTGCATACTGCTTATACCTATAAAATGGTTTGAATTCTGTAATGATTATTTCCAGATTACATAAACATATAATTCTACCATTTAAACTCTACATATCGCTACATTTATCAGCTGATAATGAGAAGTTATTTGAAACTTATTGTCACAAACCGATCTAAGTCAAACAGTCATTGAGAAACTGTTTCGCCTTAGTTTAGGACTTCTTAGCGATGCCCATCTACGACTCTACAACTTAGAATCGGACCCAGGTCCAATACGCAGATACACAACTTCTAAATCAATGAGCCAGCATCCAATAATGTACATGTCTAACTTCCATCAATCTTTGATATGTTGGTGCTATCATCTCCCATTGTCTTCGATGAGTAAATTGCTCTCATTCGACATCATTTGATTGCAGTAGCCAGAGTTCCTCACTAAGACTTCTGAAATTTCCTCACGAAGTGAGTCCCAATCTTTAGTATCTCATCGTTTTTGTTCAATGTTCACTATATCTCGACCGCAGGTAACATAAATAAATTTTCTACAGTGACTCTTGAAGAGTCCCATTAAATCAAAATTTAAATATTTTGATTAATTCAAACGCAACAAATATTGTAATATTTTCAAATGTTTTAATGTTTTTAATCAATTGACCTCTGCATTATTCTTCTTATCAATTTATCATAATTTAACACCAGTGAAATGAATTGACTTAACAGTGAGTACTGAATATCAGAAATTCTAGCGATTACTCTACAGCATTAAGAGTTTTTCATTTCTCTTAAATAGTTTATCTACATTCTCAATTGAATCTGAAAATTACTCATTTATACACAGAAGCGTTATAAATTAGTAGATAACTACTCTAAAGAGCTCTAAAGAGCCGACTAAACAAAATGTTCCTTAATGACGTAACGCAGTTTGTCAAGTTCTTCACTGCTTCTTTAATGAATCTGTATGTAAATAGATTGGATAAAGACATTGGTAAGTCTCTCCGCCCATTTTTGAGTAATTACGTGTGAAAACAACTCAGAGATGCATACTTTCTGAAATCATTCTAGGTCACACTAATCAGTGGTTTGTTTTTCATGAATTGTTTTGTATAGCTTGAATTCAAGTCTATGTATTCAGTCAGCCACCTCAAAATATTCTAAAATCTAAGCACTTAAAATGCTGGGAAAAATGACAGTAAATGTTATTTGTAAAAGATCATGTTTTATTTCAAACAAAACTGTTATGTCTAGCGACAGTTGACTGATATCACATGACACGTCATCAATCAAAATCCTGATTCTGTTTTGATCTGTCTCTCATTTAACCAGTTACATATCTACCCAGCATTAGGAACCTTGAGTCAACAGCGGAGCTGCCATTTGTTCAACATTCTCTAGATTCCTTTGTTGGGGACGTTAGATCCCCAGAACTAGCTTGATAAATGCCTTAATTTGGATTTCACGTTGGTGAGCATGGGCTGATCAACTGACTTTGAGATTTTATTTTTCATCGGGTAAATCCTTGGCTGTGTTTGGCTGCTGTGTATTTTTGTGACTGTCCCAAGGCCGTTCCAATGACGTATACATAAACGAGGGTTGTGTGTTTGATTGCATTGTGATTGCTGGGTGTTATAGAATATACTTTCTACACTTATAAAGACTTCTGTTTTTTAGTTTGGGATCAGGGTAGCCTACCTGGATGCTGGTCATTGTCTCGTTCGCGTTTATCGACTAAGGTGAACTCGTAGTAGCTTCAAGCATACCTAGTAACTAACTTAACATCCTTATGTCCTGAGTCCAGAAGTTAGCAATCAGTCTCACCAAGTTAAAAGCGAGTATTTGACAAGGTCGAAAGTGGTGAACATAATAACTCAAGTAGAATGGTCTCATTACTTTTTTCCCAAGGCTGAGAAAAGCCTTGTAGGCTCGACATATTATGATAGGAGAAACTATAACCAATCCACCAGTAACAGATTTGGAACAGTAAATTGTACAACAATAGTTAATGATTTTAACATATGCTTCAATCTTCAATCTTTATCCTGATATGACAAAACAAAAAACATTTTATTGTTAAATGTTCAATTTGTTACACCCAAAAAAAAACAAGTTAATGAATACCCTTTATGATAACTTGATTGAATAAAAACAGAAATTTTGTTCATTTATCAGGATTGATAGATTGATAAAATGTAAGTTTTTTGTTCTTAGATTTGTTTTAATTAATCAGTGAAGTGTGTATAGATTTGACTAAAAACAGGAAATTAAATTTACAGAAATTTTTAAAAAAAAACAGTTTTAAATCAACATATTATTGACATGATATAGTAAGTAACATTAACAGTTTTTAATATTTATGATTCATGTCAAGAGTGGAAGTAGGTACTCATCTCAGAAATTGAGTTACACTAATATTACTTTGAGAAGTTTTGTTAAGAAATGAATTAGATGGATAGATATATATATATGAAGTACTTTCAGTTCAAAATATTCCTTAAATCAGCTTACTAAGATCTTATTTTCAAGGGTTTCTATTTTTCTGTTGTTGTTAACTTCAAAAGACTTGAAAGTGATCAATTGTTACTGACATAGATACATTATATAGAGATTTTAGAAATTTTTACTGAGTTTTAAATTTTTTTAAAGTTGGAGAATGATTAATAGTGGAACCCGGAATGTGTGTTACTTCTTACTTGAAACAAAAAGTACTCGGCACAAGTACCGAGTTTTAATCTGACAGTTAAGTATCAACACTGAGATCCCCAGGTACACTTGGTTAACATGTCCCAAATAGGACGCTTTGTGATAAGACAACCAATCTCATCTATTATTTAGATGATATAATAAGAAGCACTGAACTATCTTGTAGGTAAATTACTGTAATACATTTGTTACATTTTGATCGATAAGATGTATTTCGTGAGAAAAACAAGTCTAGTGAGTGATATCATCATTGATGAAAGACCAATCGAAGCAATGAAGGGGATTATTTATTCAAGTTATATAGTCTGACTAGTTCCATGAGGAATCTTCCCCGAGTTCTAGTGAAAAGTCGTGATCAGTGAAGTCCACCCTGTTCGGATGTAGACGGTAACTACCGACGACAGTAGATGAGGTTGAGCAACTCCGATATTTGTTTGAACACCGTTAGATACCGGCTCAGTGGTCCAGAGAATAGACGTTTGCAAGCAAGACAAAAGGCCATGGGTCAGAATCCTGAGAAGGGCAGGAGGCATAAAAGAGGGAGAATGTTACACCCACACACACATTACTAGGTATTAAAATAAAATCGATAACACCTGAGTAGGTATTTTTTTAAAGAAAGGTATAAGTGAGAGTTGAATGGCTACTACTTCACTAAACGTTCACCTGATACGACATCTGGACCACTCAACAATGGTTGAGTTACGATCAACCCTATGACTCGTTTTAGCTCTGTATCTGATAAAAGAGGAAGAAGATTATTTATCGAAAGTTTCGAATGAGTCACTGAATTTTATTATCTCCGTGCATTAAAAAGTTTTTCACCTCTATCAGTTCATTCTAGTTGTCATTATTAATAGTTATTGACGCAGAACATCCTGAAACTAATCATTACGTAACACTTAATGCTTAGTTAGTCATCAGTTTTTAGCCCTTATTACATTCTGTCTACTAAATTGCAGAATGAACATTACACTTAGTGATTAGTTATCGCGTGCACTATGTTTTCGTGTTGAAGGTAATAAAAAGTATCTAAAATAATGTTGTGATCAATAAATATCCCTAATTCATTCCAAAAGAATATAAATCATGGAGCGGCTAACTTAACAGTAAGTCACAAAACTTGACATTCAGTGACATGAAATTGAATAGCACTGGAAGCATCAGATCCTTCGAGATTGAAGAACCGTCTTACTAACAAATGCCAATCAGGATGATTTACGTCGACTACCTTGAATCATACGAAACATGTTACTTTGATAATTTTACTCCTAACATTATGAAAACGATTTGGGTCGTAGAACTGCTATGCAACATGACTAAGCAGTACAAATTTTTTATGTAAATCACGTATATCAATACTAGAAACCGATTATTAAATAAATAACCTCTCTACATAAATTATGACACTCATAAAACATACTTCTATTACATATCCCCCTTTTAGTGTAATTTTCTGAATCAAAGTCAACTACCTATGGCAGAAACTTCAAATTTTTGGAAACTTTTCCAAAAAGGTATAAAAATTCTTAACGTTTATTGACATTTGAATTATTGAGTATCAATCTTCAACCGACTATCAATAATTGTCATTGAATTGAATTTAATTCAATAAAACCAATTAATTTATTTGTTGAATAGAGACATAAATAAAAACAAAAATTCAATGAATTTCTATTCCTTTTACTTGTTAATTGTGTGACATTGTAAATTGTGTAATTTAGCTTACGAGTAAATTCAATGTTGAATGGTTTTATTTTTCAAAAAAAGTTAAATAAATATGTGACAGTGTCCACTATTTGTATTACTTTAGTATAATTTCATCAGAATTTATAATGAGAAAAAAAACAGCACAATTATATTGGATAAGTTGAATATATAGTAGTAAGTTGAGTAGTTAATAGTTTAATGAACTGAATTTCAGGTGCAGTGCTTTGGACAATCTAATGAGTGGATATCAATGGATGTGTAGGAAAAGGGAGAAAACGCTTGTACATTGAAGATCACGAATCAGTCAGTGTTCGAATCACCATTAGAAACCTGGACGCACTGAAAGACTGTCGTTTCAGTCCCATTATGGGACTCATCATCAGTGATGCGAACACGAACTCCCAGCTCGCGGTAATCTGAACCCTGGACCTTCGGTCTTGCACTCGAACGCCTAACCTCTAGACCACTGCGTCGGCAGCCAGCGGAGTTTATGTCTAACTGTGATCAATTGAAGGTTTTGAGCAACCTGACATAATTTCTTCGGTAGTTACTGCCTACAATTGACGGATTGGAACCCCACCGGTTACAGCTTCTCACTCTACTTCCGAGAATTCACCCTCGAAGCTAGTCACTAGTAAGCGCATCCTATCATTTTTCATCATAGAGTTATGCAGACTGGTATTTTACATTGATTAAGGATCTCAAATTAAAACAACCCTATAATGAAAAAAATTCAGAAAATACTTCGTGATTCTTTACCAGTATGCTGAATATTAAATTTATGTTTTCTTCCTATGTTACTAACTTTCTGTCCAGTTTTCAACATCTAACTCAAATGAACGAGTTGAAATAATTTTTTCATTAAACTTACTAGTATTAATCATCGTTTTAATTTACAGATTGACCTAATTCATGAGTTGCATTCACTACAAATCGATCTCAGTTGGGTTGCCACTGAACATTAGACGGCATTTGATGTTTGTTTCATTTTACTGCAGAACTTCTCAGCCATACATATTCACGACTGTACCAGGTATAGATCTCAGAACCTTCGATTCTCACAGTGAACCACTGACCAGTTAAACCATGGGGTCGGCATTCAGCGTTAATTTACAATATGACTCGACAACTATAAAATGCTGTTAGTGACAAGCCTTTAAATTCTGACAAGTCAAAATTCATTTTGAAGGTTAGGAAAACAGTATCAGACAGGAGCACAAAGAACATTAGAGAATTTTCAGAAGCTTGGCTCTCAGATCAATCAGCAATCAACAAACACGTTGACATTGATCCAATTTATCAACCAACCAGAAAAATCATCGTCAAACATAGGATCAAGAAACAGATCAAAACGGGGGGATACAATCAAAATAAAGGTGCAACCAATGACAAGTTTAAGGTCCAAAACAACTCATCAAGATCGAGGTTCACAGAACAAACTACAGGTCAAACGTGGAGACATTTGAATCCTTCAGTTCTGCTATCTGAAGTTTGCGCTGATGATGTTATTCAGCAGCTCAGAGAACGAAACACCACCATAATCAGGCAACCAACCGTACAACTATTATTTAATACTCTGAAAGTTAATGCTTTCTTTATTTGTTATACATCAATCCGTTAACTTAAAAACAAATTAGTAAATACTAAAAAAAAAACAATTTTCACTTACTTTCAATCAATTGACTACAATCATTTTGTGATAATATTCTACTGAAAACATTTAAATTCATTCGTTTCAATTCAGTTTGTTTTAAACAAGCTTGATGTAACATAACACATTCATTTAAATAAAATAAACCATTGATTGTACATATTGTACCACTATTCATATTACACATATGATTTCTAGCCATATCCATTAATGTTGGACATACACAAACACCAATAAATTGATCTGAATCTTTTGAAAACCATTCTTCACAAATTGCACCAAAACGGCATTCACGTTTGGCACAACCATCTAAGTAAGTAAGAAAATGAAAACAGGATAGAAAAACAAGAATGACAATTATTAAAGAAGATAAACAGCTCTTTTTTTTAAAAAAAAATAATGAATTCTCACAGTTACAATAATCATTTCACCAAAACTGATACTACTTTAATCAACAAGATAAGTAGTATTGTAAATAGGATACAATTTTTTTTCCATTAGTACTTAAACTACCATGTTCAGAGTAATTTGCAAATTATTCACATGGTTTTTTTTCTATATACACTTTTCTCTCTGTCAACCAAGCTACTTTTTTCTCCGATAATTTAAGTCGAATAGATAAACCTTTTTAAAAGAATATAACACACAACAAATTTGTTCAATGTTCGAAAACTGTTGTAGACATTTGTATTTATTTACCTGCATCCAATGAACATCATTTTCTAGTCAAAAAAAGATTTGAAAGAAGTAAAGCAATTAAGAACAGCAATATAATTTATGTGTTGGTTTTTATGTTCATGTGTGCACACTAATGGCGTATTGTTTCTCAGATTTCAATCAATATAAATGAGTTGAGTTAATAATTATTTTCAGGTGCAGCTAGTTATTATATATATACTCGACTGCATATGTTTGAATTAGAAGTTGTAAAATGTAAACTGATTAGATTTTAATCAATGAATAATAGTTAAAGTATTTAGCAAACTTTTCATTCTATTTAAATAAAAATATTTGCGAAATAGACTGTAGTGCTTCAACGTATATTCGAGTTCGCTTACATTTAACTTGGTTAAGTCCTTTAAAATTAATTTATTTAACCAAGCAAGCCATTTGTATTGCAACAATTTATTTGTACCATTCTTCTTATTATTGTCTGGTTTGTATGAAGAGCTCACATGACGTGTTCTACTTTTCATTTGACCTTGTCAACTATCCATCGCTTTTATTCATGTGTACCTATTTCGCTTGTCATATGTCTGTCTTATTTTTGTCTGACTATATATTCTTAGTCATGCTCTATTTCTTGGAGTTGGCTCAACAGCCTTCTCCAATTCACGTCGCTTCATTCGTTTTATTCACTGCTTCTCCGCTTCAACACTTCGAGTTCGCCTTCTGATTTATAAACCGTCAGACGCTAGTTAGTAACGATTGTCTAGACGAGCTAATCACGAAGCTTAAGAACACGCAGTCAATTTACTCACCACAAAACCATTCTTTCCAATAAAATCTTATCGAATTTTGAAATTGTAGCTTTTCAATTATTGCTTTAAATGAATCCAATAAAATTATAAAAGATGAATAAATTTAGCTGCAATTCATCTTAGTACATCTTATTTAATTCTTATCAGACATTATTCTTTTTGTTCTAGGTTGATCTAAAATCTATTCTTTTCACTTGAAGAGTGTTGAATCATTAGTAGACCACAATTAGAAACTCGATAGTATTGAACAGCCATTTTGTCCTAGTATGGAACAACAATCACTAAGAGTATGGCATCCATGACTCCCGCGCTCACAAGAATCGAAATATCTGCTTATCATTCATTATATTTACAAAATATTTAAAACAAATGAAATTATCCAAGGATAACTAACTTCTTATCATCAATAATCATCAGTTAGAAAACTTGGTTTAAGAATAAAATAATTTAAACAAACGATACAACTGATAATTCAGTCGATTATATTTTAGTTAAAAACCACTACAGTTCTTTCATGGATGTCGATTATTGATACAATGGACCCTCATCAACCTCATCCTCAACATATAATATCATATTGGCTTAGAAATGTAATCAACTTCGGATGGTGGAGAAAATTTGTTGCTCAGCTGGATGATTGTGATGGAGTTTCGTTCTCTGAGCTAGGGATGTTTTTAGTTGTGGAGCTTTCATTATTCTCCTGCAGAACAACATTATCATCACAAACTTTAACTTGAACCTATTCAAATGTTCTGCGATCAGTTTAATTATCTCATCTGCTACAACAGTCGAAAATCTAACATTATTAAAAATGAAACCATCCTTTTAGTTGAAGGGCAAACCATAGGACAGTTAGTTCAATTATCTAAAATGTTGATTGGTCCAGATCTTCAGGTTCGGAGCCAACTAAAAAATCTGCAAACAACAGATATCTAAATGCGTATAGCATATCTTCAACAAATACTAATCTAGGGTCCTTCATTTTAACTCAAATTGCCTAGGAATAAGTGAGTATATGACACAATAAATATCTTTGTTCTAAATCACTATTCAACGTTAGTTTATGAATTATAAATATTTACACATATTAAATCATCAATCAATCATTGTTAGACAACGATTAGAAACCTGGAAGCACTGAAGACAGGCCGTTTCGTCCTGGTATGCGACTCAGCAGCACCGTTGAGTGTCGGCCCAGTGGTCCGACGGTTAGGAGTTCGCGTACAATACCGAAGGTCCCGGGTTCGAATCCTGTGAGATGCAGGAGTCGTGGATGTGCACTGCACTGATGAGTTAGTCGCCATACCAGGACGAAACGGCCGTCCTTCAGTGCTTCCAGGTTTTAATGTGGTGGCAGTCTAACAGTGATTGATTGATTGATGATTTCAAATGTGTATATACACAAAAACTCCAAAACTCTGCCCGAAAATAAATATTTAAACTAAATATGTGTTGTCATTTCAAAAATAACAGAGACAAACTAATTGTATCATCATGTTAATAATCATTCTATCATGATTCAGTGAATAACACCAGTTATAAATCTTTCATAAATTAATTTGACTTGTATTTTATTTACCAATTACCACTTGAGCTCAGTTGATAGTTATATTTGTCTATCTATCATATCAGAAATAACATCATTGATATCGATTTATGTATTCCACCAGGTATTTCTTAATTAATCTGTAGTGAAGGAGAACACAGGTGGGGCAACCGAATTGTATTTAACGAAAATTACAGAGTTACTCAGTAAAATCGGAAAACCATATCGTAAATTGTTCATTTGCAAAATATCAGTTCATCATATCGAACTGGACTGTTCCTGTTGCAAAACATCAATCAATTGTCACTATTCATGCGTTTCATACAAATTCCATTGTTTTCTAACTCTTCCTTTCTTGATCTTCCACCATCTTCTGCTGCCAGACATTACGTTGACACTCACGTCATATACTACTTATAAGTAGCTCGCACCACAGCACCACAAATCAATGAACTCATTGTTGTGTATATGTCACTCTATAATGCGACGTCACAATCGGTATCACATTAAATTAAATCAGATAAAGGAGAGAATATTGATTGTTCAATGATTAAAAAATAATTTTCTGTTTCTAATATTTAGTTATGAAAATATTGACTGGAATATTCAATAACAAATATTACGGTTTGTTAACTTTGTCTCCGTTTTATGTCAGTCAGTAAGTCAGTCAGTTACAACGTAGAACTTCTTATGTAAGTACTTCAGTTCCGGTTGACATACCACATTAGCACAGAGACGCAAGTATCAATTCAAATCCCATAGTGGTGGAGATACAAGGAGTATTACTGGTAATGGAAAAGATGAGGATTTGAAGATATTATTCAAGAAGTATAATTCAATGAGATGACTTTAGAGGGAGAAAGATAGAGATGATGAGGAATTCAGGTCAGAATTTGAGAGAACACAAAGAGTGGATGCAACTGTGCTATTACAAACGATTCTGAGACATATCACTCAAAACCTCTAACCATCGTGGACCCCAACCACATAGCCTATATCTACCAACATGACTCTGTCCACTTGTCCGTGAATTCATGGATTTGTGCCATGTTCCGTTCTGGTCACCCCTAGCTTTATTTCATTTTACTCCTACACTACAAAACATAACTCGTCAAAGCAGTCCGTGGTTAGGGATACACAACATGTGTCCCAACCACCTCAACTGATGAAGTTTCACTACTTCATCTATTGATCTGCCATCCTTACCTAGTACTTGCTTCCTAATGGCAGCATTGCTTTTATGTAAAACTGATTTCATAGAGTAAATGATGTAAGTTAGCAAAAAAACGTACAATGAATAGAAAATGTACAATGTTTAAAACGTAAAACATATTACACAAAAAAAACTATACAGATAAAATAAACATTTAGTAATTTTTCTGATAAATATTTAGATTTTAATAATGTATTACATTTCTTTTTGTAAATAAAATATATATTTTGAAAAAATATATATCAATAATCATTAACTTAGTGGTTTTACTTTTAATATGTAAAAGATTTCTTTTTTTCCAATCAGTCAATTGGTTCAATAAGGGAATAAAGTATAATTTTAATTTCTTAATTATTGAATAACAAATAGTAAAAATATGAAGTAAAATCATTTATATCGGTATTTAATTATCAATTATTCAAAGAAATATTACTGGGTGGAACTTTTTTCTAGCTTCTTCGTACATAAGTCAACTAGAACTGGTGAACAATGTTCAATTCCTGATTTGTGATTTGATTTTTGAATTTGATCGATTGGTTAGGTGAATGGTCATTGTTTTTTTCTTAAATCAATATTTAGATTATAGTGTATCAAATGAATAAACAAAGTGGACTTGAGGTAGGAGTGTCAGTCAGTTACAACGTAGAACTTCGTACTTACGTACACCACATCAAGTTGCCATAACATATTAACACAGAGACGCTATTGTCAATTCAAATCCCATAGTGGTTGAGATAGTAGAAGTATCAGCGGTAATTGAGAAGATTAAAGTTAGTCAAGAAGTATAATTCAGTGAGACAACTTTAGAAAGAGAAAGGTAGAGGTGATGATGAATTATTGAGGAGATTAGAGTTTGAGAGAACACAAAGAGTGGATGCATCTACCCCGTCGCAAACGATTTTGAGCCATTTCATTTAAAGACCCAAACTATCGGTTACTATAATCTCGCGGACCCCAACCAGGTAGTCAACACCTACCAAAATGGCTCAGTTCAGTTTTCAGTGACTTCATGCATTTCACCATGTTTCGGCAGAGTCACCGCTATCTTTCTTCCAGCCTACTCCTACACCACAAACATTGCTCGTTGGGCATGAATAACACATCCAAACCACCCCAAATAATGAAGATTCATTACTTCA